GTACTTTGCCTATATAAGACATCAAATCCTCATTCATTCCTTCTTCTTCCTTTTTGTTTCCTGTTGCTATGGGCTTAATTACCCAAGTTTGAGTGGGTTTCACTCGCAATAAACTACAATTCAACACGTGTCTTCACATCGTTCTTCTGCTTCAATCAACCGCATTGGAATAGGACTCAACTCTTATTCCATAATCAAAGGACCAACNTTTCAAAACAGAGTTGCAATCCCTCTACTGAATACCTCCTAAGAAACTATTAGAATAAAGCTAACAAAAACTTTCACGACAGCAAAATGGTATTATCTTTATGTAAATTCATTTTTACTTGATACCTGTTTTATGAAATCTAAATATTCCGTGTAGAAAGGCCATGGCAGATTGATAACATGATAAGCAGCAAAACATGTTAATCCGATCACTATCATCGCTCTTTTATTACTGAAAAATTTTCAAATTAGAATCAAACTTCAAAAGCTATTTCAATTCTGAGCAATTTTACAAAAATTATTTCCTTTTAAGGAAAAATTCATTTACCAATGTTGCAGAGGTGTGAAACCAATTATAAAATAGCACATAACATTAAGAACACAACAAATAGATTGAATAATACCGTTGTACAGTACAGCCTGATAATCGGTCCAATTATACATTGCTATTGTAAAAGGTGGAGCCATCCTGAATAACTGTTTTAGAATATAAAACGGATAAAACTAATCTAAAGAATTTGAAGATGATTACTAACACTTCAATGTCTGTAGCAATGCTTTGCATTGTAAACCATAAATAAATACAAACTGCAACAGCGAATCGATCAAAAATTTTCGAAAAATTAACAAAAATAAATTTCTCCGGAAAAAAATTCTTTCTTAAAAAAAGAAAAACTCTTTTATATTAACCGAGAAATAATCAATACCGGATTTATCAGAGCGTAAAATTCCAGAATATTTTTCGGTAAAAATAGTACAAAGCAAAACAATCGATATTAGTGATATTACAACCATTAAAAATGCTGGCAACGTATACATATTTATAACAACAATGTTAATTTGAAAACCGCTTCGGCCAAGGGGCGTGAACCAAGCCTGTATTCATACAAATATTTTTAAGGCTCATTGTCACAAAATGTGAAAAATTTAGTTAAACTTCAAAAAATTTTTAATATTCAGTCATTTAAATGTCATTTATCATTGATTGATCAACAAAAACTTCGAATTTTAACATATAAAAATTATGCAAGTAATTAAAGAAAAAAATTTTTAGTGCAAACAAATAGCTTATTTTGTAAAAGAAATTCATTTATCTCAAAAATATTCTTTTTTTAAACGATCAAAATACCTGCAATGCTGGTCCAATTGACAAGCCAAGTACAAAAGATACAATGGTGATAGATAAGGCTTTGGTACGATCATGTGGTATACTTGCTGTAGCCGCATATGTTCGCAATACGCATAAATTACCTAGAAACGGCTGTTCCTTTCTTTTCAGCAAAACATAAACATAGCTGTTTTTCTATTTCAAAAATTTTTAGGATCTTTTTTTTCAATTTTTAAACTTTGAAGAAAAA